CTACTTTAATAGTCACATAAACCTAATTTTCACTTCTATGGCTTTCTTGAAGTGGCTAATTTCATCAGCAAACCACCCACATCCAAATACTTCAGCCCTCCTAACTCGTTGCGTGGTGAAATGGAACCAAACAAGAAGAACAACATGTTACTTCCATCTTCCTCTTTCCTGTTAGGAATATTGAAAATAGGAGGGGCGGGGGGGGGGGTCACTATTCACTGGCCAATTATAATATTATTATCAATCGCTCGAAACAGGAAACTGTTTCAGTTCCACCTTCAAAATTTCAGTTAATAATGACAAACCAAAAAGCCTCTCTCTACCCATGAACCCATTAGCAGACACTGGTGTAGTGTGTTGCTCCCAACTGCTTGACTTCTTCAGGAAATCAAACACCCCTCCAGCATTCATTTAAAAATAAAATTTCCCCGTTTTGAATAATTAAATATCATCTCTCTCTTGCGTTGTAAAGAAAGCTGACGTGATTGAACTATGTGGCTATCAAGAAGAGCGTGATAGACTTACCCCCACTTGTGATAAGGGTTGAAATCAATCTGGTATAAGCGAATAATTATCAACCGTATTACGGAGTTTAGGAGCCTGATGGTTAGATCAAGGCAAGTCCACATTTAATTTAAAAATATTACTCGTAGAAATTAGTAAAATTAATTTTTCGAAATTTCATTTATTTTCAATCCGACGCCACAGATGTGTGGATCATCACTCATTTGCCAAGGGTTGGCAGCAACTAGTTTGTTCTAAATTATTCCAATTTCATTTCTTTCTGTGAATCGCAATGATTACCCATAAAATTTGTCTACTGCACTTTTCAATTGCATCAGAATATACCCACAATATTTGAAATTTTGCTACTTGCGAACTAGGAGATCATTATACACTTCATTTCTTGGCCTTCTTGATAGCTGTCTTTATAGAAAACGAAAACTCACTTAACAATTCCTCTCTTTTATATAAATCAATGAAATGAAATGTTTTTCAATAACTTGATCAATTATTGCTGCACGGATCATTATTTAACTCATATCTTGATAATTCTCTGGTAAAGTTCATGCATGAGCGAGCAACATAATTCCATCACAATTTTCTACCATAACTCAAAGTAAACAATGATGACAAGATTATTTCTTTAAAGATAAAAACATTTTTATCAAATTAACACGTAATTGATCAGTAGAACAACACATGATATGATATATTTTATTTTTTACACATATTAGCAGTGTGCCATTAAATATGTCTTCCTTCTTCTACTTTTAATTGAAGAATGAAATTACTGCAGGCAATTGCCATTAAAAATACCAGTTGAAGGCTCAAACAGCTTACTACGGTGTTTTCATCACTGGCTTTGGGATACTTCAAACTTTGTTTAACGGACTTGAACCCATACTTTGGGGCAAAAGTAACTATGCATGTGCCTCTTGAAGCACCGAAAATCGGTTGAATTTATTTTGTGACGTCATCAAATGCACTATTAATGTAATCGATAATGTGATTGGCAATTTAATATCGAAAAGCAGACAGAAAATAATAATGGGAAATTTATTGGATTGCACAATGGCAATAACGAAAACTCGCAAAGTTGGAACATATGAGAAGGGGCTCTCTTTTCCAAGTTGGTGTTGCGACTATTCTTGAACATATAATATCTGGCAAATCTACACCAGCTAGTATAAAAAGAAATTTATTTGAAACATGACCAAAACAAAAGACTAATTAGTATTTGCTTAAATTTACGTATCGACGTTTATCGCATATTAATAAATGAAGCTTAAACGGAATTAAATTTCATCACTTGCTCTTGGGAATGTTTCAAAATTTACCTCAGACTTGTTTCACTCCTCTCAATTAATTCAAATTCATACGCTTTGGTGATACACAATCTCGGTTTCAATGAATATAAATGATAGATGATATATATATATATATATATATATATATATAAATGGACATTTGACCTTGACAAATTTCAAGCTCGAACTTATAGGTCGAAGGTAACTAAGCCACAAGTATCATTCGAAATTTTCATATTTCCAAAATTTAGATGGAGGAAACTGTCCCCAATGCCAACACCTCGATATGGCACAGGAGCAGCACATATCCCCGGTGTTTGTGACAAAGTTGTTGGTGGGTGTGGAATAATTAGAAATTTAACGCAGAGTGTTGACAAAGCTGAGATCTTTTCGACAACTTCATCGTCTCATGGGTATGTTGGCAGTTGATGTGAAATCGTCCACTCGCTTCATTCGAGAGTATGTCCATCAGCAAAATTTTTTAATGGCAATGTATACGTCTCTGGTGATTTTATAAAATTCTGCTACCTCTATGAAGATGTTGTCCTTATTTTCTGAAGGACCTCCCCAGTGGACCGAAGTGGTTGATGCCACTTTTAAAACAAGCTCGATGGTCACTTTTAATGGAAGTCTTTCCTTTATGTGTGAGTCATATTTACGTTTTTAGTTTTTTTAAATGAAATATAACAATGTCTTGACAACTGGAACAAAAGCAGCAGAATTTACATATGTTTTTTTCTTTAGTACCATAATAAAATTTAATATTCTTAGTTCAAATATCGGGTGTCATACTTGGTTTCACATGCATTACAAAGCAGAAATTAATTTTTCCTAAGGAATCAATTCAAATGGCATCGAATTTTCTAAATCACAATTTATCTGTGTCTATACTGTAAGACAAATTAATGTTTATCTTGATTTTGCTGTGGTTTTTGTTGAAGGCACTCCAGACCCCTGGTACTTTTCGCTTCGACAACTCTCGATGAATAGGAAGAATGATTAGTAGAATTAATACCAAGGAAGTTCCATTGGCATCTCTCACCAATTTTTTTTCAAAAGTCTCAGATAGTAGCTCAATAGACATACTCTCTGGAAATGGAGGCTCGATAAATCAAATGAGATTAATTAGTGTGCAGATGGAAGACAGCCACACTCATCCACTATGTAGTCAGACATTGGGAACGCTGATGATACAGATGCCACTCTTTACCATTACAGTGCATATTTTGCAAACGACTTCATACCAGTGATGCTTTGAGCACATTGGTCAATTAGTTAAATTGAGTGTTCCAGCAATTTTTCATCACTAAAATGATCGGCTTAATTCGATGAAAGCTTGGTCAGCCAGAAATGGCACTTCAAACAACGATCTCATTGCTGCGTGCATGTGATTTCGAGCGATTATCATCCAGCCAGTCTTTCCTTCAGCACGTAGGAGTCGAACAACTTCAGCTCCTACTACAAAGTCCTTGGATATGTGATGGAAACGAAGTAACAAAATTCAAGGTACTCTACACATGGTTTAATTCCTCGTCTTTCAATTTCGAACGCACTAGACGCGAAAGAACTTTAATCGTCTTTTGGAGTTGATCAATGCAAAAAAATTAACTCGAGATTTGGTAATTGAAACGTTAGTAAATGGATCAGATTTCAACCTATCGGAATATGCAAGGTAATTTCTTACTTCAATTTTGAATAACTGGTGAATTAGGAGAACACTGCTAGACACTTTTATGAATTTGAATAGATCTGCGAGGAAAAGGTTCGCTCATCTTTGTATGCAACTCATTGTTTAGACATTGCAGAACGAAAATGCTTGTTGGTGTTCATGGTCGTATGGACGATTCGAGTTGTGGGGTTTTGGAGACATTTCCTAAATTAAGTGGAGGAAGACAATTTTCTTTCCCATTAATTTCTCGACTTTGCAGCTGCACAGTTGCTTTGGATGGTTGAAGCCAATTTCAATCGTGTACTCCCAATTACTTTCTAGGTAGTGTTTATACTCTAGGTGGCAAAAATAAGTTTGGAGAAAGTATATCATGGACGAGTTTCAAAAGAGTACATCAAGAGTGGAAAGAATCAATCCACAGAATGGTGAAGTGACCCTACTCCAACTAATGATCGAGGAGAGACATAAACTTTCTGCAGTGGCCCGAGATCATGCAATTCTAGTTTTTGGAGGTTATAATTGGCATAGTCGAACAATTTTAGACATTTGTGAGGAATTCCAACCTGCAGCCAATGCGTAAGCTATTTATTTTCTACTTGTATGCATTTCGGGATATTTTGCTTGGTTTTGGTTGGAGAATGAGTTGGATTCACTTGTTTGCTATAAAAAATGCTCTAATGCGTGTTGGGACTTTGCATTTATCTTTTGTTACACCTCGATAGTTCTCAAACAATTAACTATTTTATACATGATCATTAGCATTAAGATGCTGGTGTCGATAGAACATTGCTGGGTCAAGGTATGAAGAATGTTGGAGCAATTGGATTATGTTTACCTCTTACAACTGCTTATTGAAGACCTGATTATCAAGATTTCGTCAGTGGTGTGCCCCAACATGTACATATGAAGATGTTAGAATTTACCTGATCGCGAACTTCGACTTCTAGGTCACTGTTAATGAAAAATTTACTAGTGCCAAATTTTTCATATATTTAAAATTAGGTGGGTAGAACTGCCCCCAATGCTAATACCTAGGTATGCCACAGGAGCAGCTCATATCCCCGGTATTGGTGGATGGACAAATACTGGAGATGAAAGAACGCCTATCAACAACGCAGAAACCTTCTTGACAACTTCATCGCCTCTTGGACATGCAGGTAGTTGATGTGAAATCGCTCCTATGCTTCATTCGAGGGCATATCCAAAAGCAGAATTTTTCAATGAATTTATGCCTCACTCCTGATTGTGAGGATTCAACTTCTAGTGTGGAGATGTTGTCCTTATTTACTGAAGGACCTCCCCAGTGGACCGAAGTTATCAACGCCTCTTTTAGTATTGACTCGATGATCTCTTTTAAAGGGGTCTTTTGTTTGCTAGTGAGTCAAATTTTAATTTTTTCTTAATTTTATGTCTTTATCATTATTATCTGCTTTCATAATTAACTATTATTGATACTGTTTTGAGTACATCTTTTGTTACTTTTTTCAACTGGAAATGTACTCACTTTTTTGGCAATCGGAAATAATGAGGCAATTTAAGTAATGAGAGAGGGTGGTTAAAGGTTGGAGTGGAAAGTTATTTCAACATCTTCAAGAATTTTATGAACTAATCAAGTTTTTGACATTTCAACTGACATTTTCACACGTATATTTATTTTCCCCACAAACTTCGAAATTTATATGTTTTAAAGATCATTTCACTGATGTTTTGATGAAATTAATCAATTCGTTCAATTGAACAATTATACCCGAAATGTGAAAGCAGATAATTACATTTAGTTAACGTAATTTGGAATTACAATATTCACTTGATTTCACTTAGGTTCAGTTATAATAAAGTATGAAAATATTTCCTGTTAATTGTAGGTAATGCTGGAAGAATATAGGAACTACTATTCAATCAACACGAAGGGGTAAGTTATACGACATTGAAGGCCCATGCACGGACGAGTTGCTAACCAAACCCCATTTACCTTTACTTTAGAACTCCTCAAAAAACAAGTATTCTTGGAAATTAATTTCTGAATTAGACTATAAATATGACCTACGACTGCTAAAAATAAATAATTTTAATGATTCAATTACAATTGTCGAAAGGTGGTCACGATCAAGTTGTCGGATATCAAATGAAAATTGCATTTTTTGATAAATCAATTGAAAACAGAGTTTACGATTGCGCTCAGAATGCAAAAGTGGCGGACTGTGGTGAGTAACTGCACTACTGAAATAGCACACACACCCTTTCGCAACCAATTAAATTCTAGCAAAAGCACCACAGTTGGCACGTGTTACCACAAATTTCTAGGCTCTCAATTTGATGTGTGCTAGCTTCTGAAGAGAATGGAACATAATTTGATCAACGTCATTAGTAGCTTTTCATAATTGCATTTTATAACCGAAATTGATCTAATCACACCAGAACTATGTGCTTTATACAAAACTTGATATGACTTAGTTAAATAGTTCGCATACTTTTTGATCATATTTTATAATCTTTGCTTTAAAATAAAACTCTTTGAGAAAATGAATTAGATCTTGTTTCTTTTATTGGTTGATGAATTGGAGTGCAATATGTACAAGACTTTACTCATGGGGTGTTCATAATTTTCTGATCAAGGGGCATATCTGGGAGAAATTTGTCTGAGAATTACAGCATAGAGATATTCGAAATTGATTTAGCAAATAATGAAGGCAAGATTTGAAGACGTATTTCGAGTACCTGTGAGGACCGATTGAGAATCAACTCTTTCACACTCATAAGATGAGTAAATTTTCAAAAATAATATTTTTCCATTAAGACTGCTAATTGGGTTTAGTGTGAAATGTATTAAAGCGTGGGAGGGTTAGTGTTATTATGTCTGAGATTTTGAGGCTATCCAAGCACAGACAAACTTACATCAGGTTATTGATGATCGAGTTGCAACTTTTCTTATTCCTAATAAATCTCATTACTCTTGACTAACCACAGACTTAAATGAACACCCCAAAAGGCTCTGGATAGTGGAAGGAAAATCTCAACCCAGAACGAAGATTGAAGGTTAGGAAAGTATCAAAAACTGAACATTTCCACTTAGGATATGTGCTCAAATATAATCAACCGAATTCGAAAAGAGCTACCTGTAGTAATTTTCATACATTACTTACTCAAAAATCAAGGCCTCTATCTTATCCCATTGCATTGCACTCATTTGATATTCCTTTAATACGGACCCTCTCTTCCCCATCCCCACACTCAAATCTGTTTTCCAGGCTGGCTTTTATGTTCTAGATGGGCGTTGGAACCTATCCTTTGCTGCTTCCACGCCTTGACGAAACCAGAAGTAGTACAGTCTTTGTAAGTGAATATTTCATGAAGCAATTACTCTCACAACTGCTATTGGCCTCTGTTTGTCTAAAACACTTCGAAATTTCTTTTCTAACCTTGTCAAAGAAAATTATATTTGATGTCATTAAGTGAAATGTAAGTACATAATTCAATGTTGGATATTAGAATTCCACTAATTATTAAAACGAAATGAAAAGAATGATTGGTCAAATCCAATTCAAAATGTAAGTGTTAGTTGGTGAATGGAATAATTCATTCTTTAAGTTGGAAAAAAACTCACAATCGACATCTTTAAATTGACTATATCTGTGTCTATTTAGAGATGAAATAAACCTGTAAGAAAAGATGCGCTTAGAAAATCTGCGGGACTTTAACTGATGTATTACATGTAAGTGTAGAAAAGAGTTCGATAAGGAAGAATTTTGACTAAAAATTCATTCACCAGTTTCTGAATTGAACCGGTAGGTCTAGAAATAATAGAGCGGAATTAAGGTTAATTTTGGATAAGAAATGATGTTAGGTTGAAAATGAGATAGAGAGAAGATACGGACAGTTGAAGATGGAATGAAGATTGCTGGTGGATCTGGTCGAAGAAGTGGACTGGTTTGGAGTTGGAAACAAATTCTGATGCAGGTGTCATAGAGAAGAAAACAATACTATTCTTAAAGTTCCCATACGAATACATTGAACTCTGGACTTGGCAAAGATCATTGAAATAATTGCAGTGCAGTGATTGATCTCACTGGGTATTTAGGGATGGACAAATGATAACAATGAAGTTGCACGGTCACTCCAGAATTTCGTTGAGTACACCTGTTGATTCCCTACTTAGGAACAACATTGAACATAAAATGTACCTTCAGTGAGGCTGTCAACACGGCTGTAATGTGGTACACATCAGGAAGGAGGAGAGTGAGATATTAAAATGACGTGATGGAGATTTGATCATGTGATTTTTTGGAAACAGATTGTCGAACTGGGAATAAAAAGGCTTACAGCTTCAATAACGCGTGTTTCATTTAAAAATAAGTTAAATTAAATAAAATTCCTTTTCAAAGATTTCTTCCATTTCTTCTAAATAGCCATTGTAGCAGAGGTCGAGGATTAAAATAAACTGAAATTGACAAAAATCACTCTGTTTTGCTTGAATCATTTACCTACACCACTACCCAACTACTTCGAGGTTCATTGCGACGTGCATTAGACTTATTAGTTATTGAAGTCTGACCTTGGACTTTATCTATTCGGGGAATGTCTTAAACAGCACACGGCTGCAATTGGTGGTTTTCTGAAGTAGTTAACACACATTACGTCCCAGTGGTAATTTACCTCTTATAATCTTGGAATGCTCGTAGTATCCAAATTTCGAAGTTTCCCTGAGGATTTATACAAAGCAGCCTCTCACCAATCACTCTGCTTGAAGTGGCCTTAATCGCATGTTTAGAAAAATGGGTCTCTCCACATATTTGACTGTTTATTTTTACACATTTAGTTTACGAATGGCTGAAAATCTAAATGCTATAACCTCAACCCGAAACTCACCAGAATAAACAATTAAAGTTAACTACGATAAATGGTTGAAATTTATAGATGCTTATAATATATTATTCTTCGAATTGCACTGGTGTTTATTCTGAAAAGCGTTATTATTGTTCTCTACGTTGAAATTATAGTGAAAGTAGCGATTTTAAAATTTAATTTTTTTGTCAAATACATTCCATTTATAGTTGGCATTGAGCTCAAACTTTTCAAAATTGTATATTTGTATTCAGTCAGTTTAGAAAAGTAATTAATAAACAAGAGCTCATTATAAGAACACTTTGTAATCTGCTTCAGGGGTATTTCTCTTCGCGAGTTGATATTGAATGTGCTACTGAAGCTAATGTGAGTAGTATACTCACTAATTGAGTTTGACTCCGATCCCACTCTAAGAGGGATAGTGGAGGTGGATATTTTTATCCAGGGAATAAAGACGATAAATGTTGCGTAAAAATCGAAGTTGAACGAATTTGCTTTATCCGATGTCCAATTACTCATTCATGACTCAATGCAACGCTCAAAGTTAAACATAAGCTGTCCTTTATAATAACAAACTAAAAGAGCGATTCCACATTCTGTATATATTCTAGTATTCAAATTGCTACTTAGTTGCGCTGCTAACGAGTGTCACAGCGTATCTAAGGTGGAATGCTACATGTAAAAGGCTTTCCTTGACTCCAGCCATCATTTCTGGTCAGAATGTCCTTGTATGCAGCAGCTTCTGATATCAGCAAAGCCATTTCAACAGAACGCACGACTATAGAT